CGCGCCCGGCCAGCCCGGCCTCCCGCGCCCGGCGTTCCGCGGCCCGCCAGGCCTCCACCTCCTGCGCCAGGCCTCCTGCGCCAGGCCTCCCACGCCAGGCCTCCCACGCCAGGTCTCCCGCGCCTGCCTCGGCGCTCTCCCCTCTCTCCCTTCCTATCTCTCTCTCTCTCTCTCTCTCCCCCTCTCCCCCTCTCTCCCCTCCTCTCTAAATAAATATATATATATATAATAAAAAATTACTCTAAAAAATGATTTTTAAAAAATTGGTAAAAGCGTCATAGTTCCTAAAAAAAAGTTTAAAAAATAAATATGTATGGACATGAACAGTGTAGTTATAAATGGTTGTAAAATCGTCTCCATGTATTTACTCTGTTTTGTTCTCGTCACTGATCTTCCGCCTTTCCATATAAGATAAGTAAATAACTAAATAATATTGATTCTAATTGTGTAAATGTAATCACACAAAAATAAATTTATATGCATACCCGTATAATAATTCTTATGCTTTTGAATTTGCAGTATTTAACTAATCTCATCAGTTTTATAAAATCTAGATGGCTACCAGTAAATGTTATATATATTGAATATTGATATAGTAAATGTTTAAACTGAAGCTAAACTTAGGTGTTAAAGCCACTAATCACATGCACGCAAAGAGTATACACTGATACATAAAAATATCTATGGGAGTTGATGGACCATATGGCAAACAAATAGTATCCAATCACAAAATGGAAGGTCAAGAAAATAGCATACAACTCATAGTTCCACTAATACTATTTGAATTATATCTATTATTAAGAAATATATTAATTTAACAAAAAGACATAATTCCTTACACACGATTTTTTCTCTGAGATATATATATATTTTATTAAGAGGGACTAGAAAAGAGCTAGCAAGAGAGAGCGGTCGCGAGACATCATCACTAGTCAAAATCAACAACCCCAACTTTTTCTTTTTACTTCTTTTATTCTTTTTTATAACCGAATTTCTTATAAACTTTTAGTCCAAAGTTTTCTCCCGAATAGGGCGGATGATACTATCAAATTACAAATCATAAATATAATCTCTAAATAAAAAAGTTTAGTTCATCTTGGTCATCTAATTTAACATTTTAGCAAACAAAATGTCATTCAAAGTTATAGACACATATTATTACTTTAACATTCAATGATCATATTCAAAATATAGTCCAATAGAACCTAATTCATCATACTCGAAACTTTTTTTGATGATATTTGTATATATATATATATATATATATATATATATATATATATATATATATATATATATATATATATATATGTCTAGATATTTTTTACCAGGCAAATGCCTTAGAAAAAATAATGTGTTCACATAGATATATTCTCTAGTCGAAAAAGGATAATATATTCTCTTATAGGGCTGGGCATTTTATCCGTTATATTTGATTCGATTCGTTATTCGTTTCGATTCGATCCGAAAAATCTGGATATCCGTAAACTTTCGAATCAAAGCAAATACTAAAATTCAATATCCGTTAAAATCAAAGCAAATCACAAATATTAAAATTTTGGGAAGCGGATATCCGATCCGATCGGGAAATATATAAATATATGTATATCTTGATTATATTTAAAATATTAAATGTATAAAATTATATAATTATTATTCTAGCACATGATTTAAACAATTCTATTCACATTATTACTTATATAAAAGTATTACATAAAAGAAAGAAAAAAATATGACAATTATATTTTCTTTTTCTTAAATTTTCTGTTATTATAATTGTAACTTAAACTTACAAAAATTACAAAATATGTAAATTCATTAGTTTTTAATTTTTATATGATGCAAACAAATATTTTACAAAACAAATTTGTATCAACATCTTAAGATTATTTGTATTAATCAAAATGGATGAGATATCCGTAAATATTCGTAAATATTCGCAAATATCTATTTATTTTCCGGATATCCGTTTTTCCGGATATCCGTATTTTTCGAAGCAAAGCAAATACCAAAACTAGATATCCGTAACATTCGAATCAAATCACAAATACCTTGAAAACCCCGGATATCCGATCCGTGCCCATCCCTATTCTCTTAGATAATAAGTTAAAAATTGAGTGCTTCTCTTCTCCGTCTACTTCGCTGGCTCTCTTTTCATAATCAATAAAGTGAAAGGCAACGCATAGAAGATCCATCACTCACAAACAAAAGAAAAGGCACAGCAAAAGTCTCAAAAACATTCTTCTCTTTGGCCTTTACTCAAAACCTGCCCACACATATATCTTCCTCTAGCTTTCTCGTTGTCTGAACATGGACGCTACGAAGTGGACACAGGTGCTTTTAAGATCTTCCTTTGCCTCTTTTGTTTCTTCTTAACTACATCTTCCTTCTTCTCTCTTCTCTTTTTCTTTCACTTTCTATCTTCATGATCCATTAAAGATTTCATATTATATGCATATCTATGTGTGTATTATATATAGAGTCTCTTATGTATAGATGAATATCATCTTGATGATGTGATTGTGGTTAAAGAAACATATATAGATACTATTTCTTGAGTTATAACACATATGTCTATGAAAAAATCTGCATGGGGGAAATTATAATTTTGTTGGTTTCGAGGCTATAAATAAAAGATTAGGGTATATTTCACAATACATTTTTCTCAGCCCTTGGATGTGATAAATCATTAATTATATTATTGAAAAAGTAATTATAGAAAATAATTAAACGTCCGTATTTTTTAATCACCCCTTTTCTCATTTTTTCATCAAATCCTATATAGCTCGATAGAATACCAACCAAGAAAAATTTGATGTACATGTTTTATTTTTATGTTTGATCTTGAGAAGCATGACGTGAATTAATCACACGTTTATGTCTTAATCAGCTTATTATTTTGTTTATGATTCCTTAATGGTAGATATTGATACGTTTCAAAATTAAACTATAGTTACCTCTTTCGATTCCAATGTTCTAGGGCTTTCAAGAAATGATGAACGTAAAACCAATGGAGCAAATCATGATTCCTAATAACAACACACATCAATCAACCACCACGTCCAGTGCAAGGCCAAACAACATTCTCACATCTAACGGTGTCTCAACCGCAGGAGCCACCGTCTCTGCCGTAAGCAGCAGCAACAACAACAATACGGCAGAGAGGAAAGCAAGACCACAAGAGAAACAAAACTGTCCAAGATGTAACTCAACCAACACAAAGTTTTGTTACTACAACAACTATAGTTTAACACAACCAAGATACTTCTGCAAAGGTTGTCGAAGGTATTGGACCGAAGGTGGATCTCTTAGAAATGTTCCTGTCGGAGGAAGCTCAAGAAAGAACAAGAGATCATATTCTTCTTCTCCTTCATCAAACATTCTTCAGACAACACCATCTTCTCTTGGATTGACTACAACACTTCCAGATCTAAACCCCCCAATTCTCTTCTCAAACCAAATCCATAATCAATCAAAAGGGTCATCATCACAAAATCTCAACGTGTTCTCTTTCCCGGTCATGCAAGATCAACATCAGCATCATCATGTTCACATGTCTCAGTTTCTTCAGATGCCTAAGATGGAAGGAAATGGCAACATAACTCATCAGCAGCCTTCATCATCATCCTCTCTCTATGGTTCGTCTCCTGCTTCAGCTCTTGAGCTTTTAAGAAGAGGAGTTAGTGTTTCCTCAAACTCAGTTATGCCTTCTGGTTCAATGATGGATTCATCAAACAATGTGATGTACACTTCTTCAGGGTTTCCAACAATGGTGGATTACAAGCCAAGTAATCTCTCTTTCTCTACTGATCATCAAGGGACTGGACACAACAACAACCACAATAGGTCTGATGATGCTCATCATCAAGGTAGGGTTTTGTTTCCATTTGGGGATCAAATGAAGGAGCTTTCACCAAGCATAACACAAGAAGTTAATCATGAAGATAATCAACAACAGAAGAGTCACGCTAATAATAATAATTCTTCAAACCCTAATAATGGATACTGGAGTGGGATGTTCAGTACTACAGGAGGAGGATCTTCATGGTGAAGCAAAATGATCAAAAGAAATTATGAAATTAGATTTCTTTTTCTCTTTCGTGATCTTTTGCCTTACATACTCACATGGGGAACTTTAACTAAAGTTGTCAGGACTAAGCTAACATAACAGTCTTTTATTCTCTTTACTTTTTAGATTTTTATCTTGTTTAAATCAATATATATATATTTTAAAATGATCTACAGTTTTGATGGTAATTTGGGTTGGTTTGGTCACTTAGGTTTTTTTATAAGTAGCAGATATGTATAACAGAGTTGTGTATGGTTAGAAGAATATTTGAATACGAATCTCTTGAGTATTACATGATATGTATTCATCGTTTCTTTTATCGTTTCTTTGGTGAATATATGTACAAAAATCCAGAAAATATTCATACGATTATATATCAAACATTAAAAAGTATCACATGGTGAAGCAAAAATGAGTAACGATCAATTTGAGAGAGTAATAAGATAAATGATCGATCTTGGTAGCTTTCATTTTAAAACTAAATCTAACTTTTCCTCATCCGCGTACGTGATCATCGCATGTTCGGTATAATGATAATTCGATTCCATAAATATATTAATTATGATGTAAAAGGTTACGTAAACAGCTGTTTATTTACGTTCTATTTTGCTAATTTCTATTACTAAGTACTAATACATGATACCTAACTAGTTGATCACTTGAACTGCGGAACGAGATGCCACTTCATAGTGCCCACTAGACACGAACTTTTCTTGGGCTGCAGTTCTCTGTTGAATCTCTTTACGGCTTTGAATAATAAATAACTAGCATAGAGACACAACGACATATTTGGGAATCCACTCATATTTAAAAAAAAATAAACCAAACGCGATATTCTCCTGGTGTGTAAGAAATCTTAGACTTATCTGCGCATGCTACTTTATACTGTACGAATAAATATTACAACTCAGATGGATCGAGTCAACTATACGAATTATATAAGAAAACATTGGAAACGGTGGCGGGCGTAGGTGAAGAGGATGGGGTCAACATGCCCCCATCTAAATTTTATTTCCTTAAATAATTACTATCAATTTAAAAGATGCTCCATAATCCTACAATCCCACTGATAAATAAAATAAAAGGTGCTGCCCCGTCTAAATACGATTCTGCATCGCCCCCCCCCCCCCCCCCCCCA